TGGTATTCTGTTTGCCTGGAACGTACGGGATTTCGTATGTATACGCAGAAAGAATAAGCGACCAACGTACCATTCTAGGTGAAGCCATTTGTTGAATACATTTCTCGTGGCCGAGGAGGAAAACAAGAGGTGTATGATCCGTTTGGATCACGAAAGGTCGCCCAAGAAAGTATTGGTGAAATCGAGTGGTGCCGAAGATGATAGCGGCTGCCTCTCGATCAAGTTGAGCAGTTCCGTTCTGCTGGTGTCAGGGTTCTTGAAGCATAAGCAATGAGACGTTGAGAGCCATTCGGTAATTTGTGCATTAAAACAGCTCCGGGACCGTAAGGCGAGGCGTCACAAGAAAGAACAACAGGTTTCTGCGGATCATAATGCACAAGAACATCTGTAGATGCTAAGAGCTTTTTGACCGCTTTGAATGCATTTTCATGAGTATTGTTCCGATTCCAGCTTTGGTTTTAATGTAGCAGCTGGTGAAGCCGATGCAGATGAGTTGCTGCCGATGGTATAAACCTGGAAAACTGAGTGACAACACCGAGAAACGACCGCAATTCATGAACATTTTTGGGTGCTGGCGCCTCAAGTAGCGCCTTTGTCTTTTCTTCCAGTGGGCACAATCCTTCACGTGACAACCGATAGTCAAGATACTGTACACTCGGAACAAGGAACTCACACTTTTCTCTTTTTAGAACCAAACCGGCATCCGATAATCGCTTCAGGACGACGTACAATGTATGTAAATGCTCGGCGGTAGTTCGTGCAGTAATTAAAATGTCATCTAAGTACGTACATGTGTTTGGTATATCTTTCACGAGTGAGTCAATAATATGTTGAAAAATAGATGGAGCCGAGGTTATTCCAAAAGGCATGTGAATATAGCGGAATAACCCGAAATGAGTACTAATGGTGGTGTACGTGCGTGATTCCTCATCGAGTTCAATTTGTTGGTAAGCATGACTCAGATCTAGTTTTGTAAATAGATCACCACAGGAAAGGGAAGCGTAAATGTCTTCAATCTTTGGTAGCGGATATCGGTCTAATTCTAACGCTTGGTTTATCGTAACTTTGTAATCCCCGCAGATTCTTATCGTACCATCGCTCTTCAATACTAGCAAAATGGGGGCTGCCCAGTCTGAATACTGGACGGGTTCAACGGTACCTTCCAAATGGAGTCGGCGCAGTTCACTTTCGACTTTATCACGGAGGGCATAGAGAACAGTGCGAGCTTTCCAGAACCGCGGTTTTGTCTGTGGTTTCAATACCAGATGTGCACTGTAATTCTTTAAAAGTCCTGATCTCGACTGATCAAATAAGACTGCATGCTTCTGCAAAATCTCGGATAACTGCGGATTGTCTTCCACTAGGTTGACGTTCGACATTATGCCAGGAAGGCGCTTAATTCCATCGCGGCTTAGGATGTTCGGACCCGGTCCTCCAGAGACGTACACACACATATGACTCGTTGAATTACGGTAAGAAACGCGTGCATTGAAGGTACCAAGCACAATCACCATCTGTCCCGTGTAAGATCGCAACTGTATGTTCGGTGGACACAGCTTTGGAAGTTGGGATAAGGCGTCTAGTCGGATCAAAGTGACTGCGGAAAAGGTATCAATTTCAAACTCTACCGGTTGTTCGTTTACTTGGACGGATACGACAAACGGTTTGTCTGCTGTAATGGTGCGATTAAAAACGGCTGTGGTGTTAATCCAATTCTGATGCAATTCATCAGTAATGCAGTTTGTAGTCTTAGATTGTTCCTGGACGAGTGATTTCCGCTTGGAAAGACATATTTTCTGAATATGACCCATTGTTCCACAAAATCTGCATAATGAATGAATGTGCGGACAGTCAGTCGGGGACAAATGATTCTCCCCGCAACGGTAACAACGGAATTCCTTGCGCTGGATGGGGCGAGGTAAGGCATGTCCACGGTTAGTCTGGTAGACCTTGTTTACGTCATGTGAGATTGATTAATTTGAAGAGGGAAATGTGGCTAGTTCCTGGACGAGGTTGGCACGCTGTCGGACTATATCACATGATTTCTCCCAAGTCAGTAGCGTTTCATCTTCAGAGAGCAGACGTTCTCGTGCCTTCTCATCGAAAACACCCACGATTAATGCCTGTAACAGCATCGCCTCTTCGATCTGGGCTGGAAGGATCTGATCATAGGCGCAGTCAGGGAGAGCAGTAAGGAGAAGAGAGATAAACTCATTTACAGTCTCATTTGGTTGTTGTCGCATGGTGTTGAATTTATACCGAGCAGTAAACACATGGGGCTTTTCCCCCATATTCGGTCCAGGGAATAGAACACAGTTTTTAGGTCTCGCTTCGTATGTAATTGTAAACTGTCGAAATGTCGCTGGCCCTTGATGCCGAGATGGTGGCATAGTAATTTAATTTTCGCTGCATCATCAATCGTGCAATTTCCGCCAAAGAGCAAAAGCAAATCAATGTAGTTAGTAAATGTAGTTATCCACTACAACCATTGTTGCGCAGTAGGCCTTTCAGTAGAAGAATTCCAAAAGGGTTGGGGTGCCGTTATTGAATTTGACATGAACAATCAGAATAACCTCCGTCGCCAAATTGTTACACTCAACCGAAATCAGAACAACAGTATTGCAAATGGAAGTTTAGTAGAAGCAATGGCAATAGTACATCGGCAGTCCACACTGGGTACAGATCAACTGTTTAGTTCTACGCAGTTCACATGTTTTAGCTAAGCACTCGCTTTTGAACCAATCAATAAGCATCGCTGGTTAGTCGGGAGATGGACACTCACGCACTAGCGCGCACAATGCAGCTCTACAGGCTAGGTAGTGTAGCATGACCTTGACGCTCTCAATGTCTGTATCAGCAGCAGTATCGGATAGCGGAAATTCGGGAGACGAAGCATACGTTGACGCCAATCGTATGCACTGCGGTGCCGGGAAGAAAAGGTAGCAGGTCGCCACCAATGGTGTGATCGCATTAGGAATACAGTTGCCTAAGTGCACGAGACAGAGCTATTGGATAGAGAACAAATACACTGGATAAGCAATCGACAGGTGACGACAGAATTCAACTCATCAATGTCATACGCCTGGTGCCGTAGCACATGAGACGCTGTGTGCATCGATCGAGTCGGCCTGGTAAGTCGTCGACATGGCCAACGTAATCCTATATCGAAAAGCAGAAGGGGTAAGTGCAGTGTGGTAACGGTACGCTTCTTCCGGATTCATGTGCTAATCCGAGCCGATGTGGCACGTGGGGTGCACTGTCGCTGCGAATGGACTATATTGCACCTGTAAGATTGTGTTGTTCCATGTTTGACAGCGTTTCCCGGTTAATATCCCAGGTCTGGTGAGCGTGATGCGAAAGTTGACAGGGCAGCTACCTGGAAAGTACCGCCACCTGCGTAGCTAATTCCAGGAGACTGCTAGTCGTTTCTGCAGGAGTGCTACGCCTAAAGAATGATTCCATCCTATATGGAACGGGCTACGGCCCAACCACCATCCTGTGTATGTCTATTGTGTGTATGTCTAGTAAGTGTGAGACGGCTCTGGATAAATCGTGGCTCCTACTAACATGTCTCTCGAAACTGTGTGGTGGGCAGCACAGGCCAAGTATGGTCCTTCAGTAAGCAGATGCGTCTAGTGGATGTTCGCAGTCAAAACGAAAACCGATGCCGTCAAACATACATTATGCGTTCAAGGGTGGGTCATCTATCTATACCACAGAGTACAAAGGTTAAAAGAGGTTAATGAAAAGAGGCAGCATGACCTGATGAGAAACATCATGGTAAGATAGGGTTGCGCATAGATGCAGGGTAATAAAGTGTTTACAGCGTTGAGGCTGCCGCCGATTACGCTGAGGACCACAGAATTGATGTTAGGAATCAATATCTAGAAGTGTAATGACAACAGATGAAAATGAAGGGAAGAATTCATAGTGATCTGTTTGTATTTGCCTGTCTGGCATCAGTGGTACGCCAGTATCCTGCAACGACGCTTCGCTGCTATGTGACCACCACCAGTCGCGCGACGGCTCGGTATACTGCAAGATCACCTGCATCTAAGAGGATTCGAACCGGTGATCTCCGGATTACAAGGCTAGCGAGTAATATACTCGGCTACTGTTCTGCCTGCATCAGATGGCAAAAGAGGCCGATAAGGAATGAGTGATGAGTGATAGAAAAGTAATGGTTGTACGTCGGCCGAGATAGTGCCAAACTTTAGACAAGGGAACGATTGAAGTCGTCAGCCGAAGCCTTGGATCGATGGTTTATCCGTAGCTAATAGGTGTTAACAACGAGCAAAAAATGGCAGCAGCAATACGACGGTACGCAGTACCGACGCTTCGTAATTGAACACCCATCACCGGTAGCGAATGGGCTAAGGATGCTGCGTGGGTCGCCCTGTCCCCTAGCTGGGCTAGAACCCGCGACCTTTAGAATTGCAAGCCAAGCTTGTGATCCTAAGGGCCACGGGCCAGCAACGGTCTACAACATTGAGCAGGTCCACACGTCACCCTAATTCCTACTCTTGTGGTGGGTGAAAGAACCAATATGGCGAGAGTAGCTCTCACGACGCCCAAGGGCACCAGGAAGTACACAACCCGTCACACTGCGTTAAGGTCTAACCTCGTGGCGACGTAGAATCGATGTAGACGCGATGATTATTTAAAGGGAGAGTTGGCAAGCTTTGATTGTCAGTCAACTGGTAGTATAATTGCTACTGAGGCCGGTAATTGGAGTTTTAGCCACGTAGAACAATAAAAATAACTCAGCAGTAGCACACCGGCACGCTGTATCGACGCTTCGTTGCTATGTGACCACCACCGGTCGCGCGTGGGCGAGGACGTCCGATCCTACGTGGATTCGAACCGATGACCTAAAGATTGCAAGCCAGGTGTGGGATCCTTTTGGCCACCAGCCGACATGCAGAACAATGAAGCACCAAGGTGCAACCAGAGGACGATATAAAATACCAGCGAGCCGTGATGCTGAACCGTAGACACACCACATTCGCAACGTCAAGGTTGGTCACTTCTTGTAGCACCAGCAAGGAAATGTTGGCACGAAGAATACTGAGACAGAGAATCTCACGAAACCCCGGATGATTGGCTTTGGCCAAAGAGAACCGATTCACATTCCATGAAGCGATCCGTAATCGGCCTGGGGCAGCGACTGAGCATGGACGCGGAATCATTTCGGGAAGGGGAGGCTGCAATGGATGGTCCAGTCGCGCGGCCTGCACAGCCTCAGACCAGTGTTTTATCCAGTCAAGATGAACAATCAGCTCCAACTGGGTAGTTGTGCAGTAAGTAGACAAGAATGTGATCAGCATCCGACGAAACTCCGCGCTGTCATCCAGCGAAGGAACCACGGTGGCCACTTCAATCCCGACAGGTTGCGATCGATACGAACTAAGGCCAATGAAACGGCATAAATAAGCATAAACGAATGAAAGCGCAATTTATATCAAATGCATGGAAGATTCAAATGACTAAAGAGTTCCCAAGAGACGTGTCAGACAGTGATCATTGGCCTAGTGATCACGTTCTCAGTTGCCAACCAGATTCGGGTTCCACTCCCAGTTTCAGCTATCTCTGCCTAAATCGTTCACAAAAGCTCGAACCTGGTTGCGAAATGCAGAGCGAGCAAAAACCGATAACAATCCACTTAGAATGCAGTCTCATGGAATGAATCGGTTTAGTTCAGTTAATTCATGTATCAAATTAACATCGTGTGTAACATCACAAACACGAGGAGAGTTCTTCAAAACAAAAACAATGGCAGGTCGGAGTTAGGGCCAAACTAACCAGAAGAACAATCAGTAGCTGAAAAACTAAAGCGAGGCGATACCATGGAATATGTCCGAGTATTGTAAAGGTGAAAAATGGAAAACACGTAGTCCACAGTGCAGTGTGCTTAGGAAAAACAAAACAAGTTGCGTTGTTCAAAAAAGTGCGCAAATGTCACAAGCAACTAGGTGATTGTGACAGAACAACACTTTCTTACGATTCGAACTGTGTTCTTGTGCTATGAAAATATTCGTTCCTGCCGTCTGCTTCCATACAAGACGTATCCCCATTGTCTTCGCGATCCCAAAAAGAAAATGTGCATACAACCGTGATTGACTGGAATCGGTATGTCTTAAGGTCAGATGTTGACAAGGTCTTGTGTTCTATTGACAAATACAACCAATATTCGGCGCCTTGACTTCTGGCACTCAAAACCCAATCATAGGAAGTCCACTCGGTAATGCCCCCTAAGAAGCATGACATGAAGCCTGATAGTTCATTAAGAAAGTATGCTCAAAATAAAACACGCTTTTCGAGATCGGACAGATATTTGCAGATGGGGTAGAATTCGGTATCTAACCCAGATCAGAGTCCATGCGTTGCATAATCGCGTGCTTAATAGATTGGGAGCGCAGTAGAAAGAAATTCCGGAAAGTGGATACGATTAAAAAGGCAAGCGTCGGATTCACAGTCCTAATTTTAACTACTTGTACAGTGGTGAGTTCTTCGCACACCTAAACAATTCGGTTATAGGCGTTTTGTCACCAAGCGAAGTGACGTCTTAAGTACACAACAGTAGTAGTGGTAATGCTAGTAGGCAGTGAGCCTCGGGTCTGCCGAAGCCAGATGTGCGCGGAGCGCAGTACCTACTAGGGAGGATAACGCTACACTGTAATATAGAGGTCACCCCGAGTAGTGACGAAGCATCTGAAACTGAGCTACTCAAAAGGGTGAACAGCTCAACCCATGAAGAGACATGATAATACAAGAGTTTTGGAAGAGAGAAATTAATCGGATGTCGATTGGCCGTCGGTAACCAATAGTATTTGAACACGTTCGCCTTGCTTGTGATATGTACAAAAGGATTTATTTGATTCATGGGCTGATGCTGTGGAGCTACACAGACAATCATTGTGTAATGCGAAGGAATATTCACATCTACAGGTGTTGGTTGGATAGCTGAGTCAGAACAGGTTTCCATGGACTCAGTTCCATATAAACAATAGAAAAGATTAAGACTCAGGCTCTAAGTTTACAGTTTAGAAGTAGGCCAAAAGTCATCATTAAAGAATCCAAGTATGCGAGAAGTTAGTTGCTGAAACAACGAGCATACAAATGTGCGTTAGGCTTGAGCACTAGTCAGTGATGCTGAGTACAGCTGCAAATGTCTTCCCAGACGTAATATTCGTTGCCAAATGACTCCGTGTTCTCTCTTGTAATACTTCTAATTGTGATATTTGGGTAGTTGTGATAGACGGTTGACGTAATGCATAATTTGCCCATACTTATTCGATTAGCCAATTTCTACCATACTACTATCTCATGATGCAGTAGTACATCCTCCTATCACCGCACAATTAGCTCGATAGCTTTATTGTAATTACCAACCAACGCTTCGTATGCATTCAAACAGGGCCAAAACGCGGAATAGGTAAAAGTTAGGCTGGTTTTAACCCCGACAGTTAGTATCCTGATCACATAGGACAACGGCGCCACAGATACAGATGATATTATGATCGGCTTCCTTTGCTCGAAGTCATTCTCTGGTTCAGGTGATAGCGCCAGCTTGTCAACCTGCTTATCAATGAAGCGCTGGTCAGAGAAATTCATATTCACTCCGACCCACCTGCATCGTTAATCCTTGGTTATGTGAAAGCCTTTGAAAAAAACTATTCTAAAACGCAAACTGAGCTGATACATTTCCGACACACGGAGTGGTCTGTCGGTTCAACCATTCAAGCAACTATACCTCCTCTGGTGGTCGAATCGCCACACATGCTACCGCGTGCATCCATTTGACCCATGTGACAATCCATGGCCTCAGTCATAAGTGGAGGGCCGGAAATCGGTGCATCGGTCAAGGGCAGGGAGTGCGAAATTGCGATGCGACTAGTGTTACCGGTTTAGCAGACACACGGTGAATGTTTGCTAGGAACACCGAGAAGTAGTCGCCAATGACTGCCAACGACCACGAAGTATCGTCCGCATGTGGTGGAAACGCCGAATAAGCAATGATGAGGAGCACTAGCCTGCATTCAGCAATAAACCCTCCGACAACGCCCTGGAACATCTGTCGAGTTTTCACTACCTGCATAGACAAAGCTATGTGCTTAGAATTCCTATTGAGAGCCTAAGCTCCGCGTGTATTACTCGTCAATACAATGCATGTTTCGGTAAAAGCACAGTGGCGTCGGAGGATGAAATGGTGAAAATACAGTGAAAATGATCAGATGGCTTAGTTGAGTTGGTGCACACCTTTTCCTGGGCAGGGGCCACGAGATGCGCCCCATGACGCGGTCGCAAAGCCACTATCACAATGGCTTCTACCCGTCAACTTCTATATTATGGGATAAAAACGTTTCGATTATTTCTTATACTCTAGGTTTTTGTGTAAATGATTACGTTCCGCCGCCTCAAACATTCTTCCCATCATTAGCACTCTGATCACATAGACGGCAGCACCTGGATTGATCGATCTCCCCACAACCGAAGATCGTGGTTGTTTAGAGGGACTGGACTGAGCGACGGACCACCACAGAAAGGTGAGGAGCGGAGTAGCCGAGCAGCTGATACTGGGGATGCTTTAGCCGAAGTACAAAGGAGAAAAGCTCAAGCACCTCAGCACAACCACAGCAAAGTAAAGGATCCCGTCAACCGATACCTGAAGTATGGTACCTGTCCATGAGTAAGCAGAGCGAACGAGATGACGCGCAAACTTCGTGATGAACGGAAAATCAACTAAAGTCGAGTGTGAGCCGACTAAACTCTGCCGATAAATCCGCTTCATTACGTGTATGGAAAGAAGAAAGAGCACAATAACTAGACTTCATGTTACGAGCGATCGTCATGGCAATCAGCATTCATCAATCGTCAAACACCACTGGGAAAAAATAGTGGAAACGGAATCCGCTCACCGCATCAGGAAAGTAAGCAAAAGTGTGGAGGATAGTCTACGAGTCTAGTTGGTAAAAACAGGTTGGCTGGACTATTTGCACAAGGAACGTTCAAGTCATAGTAGGTGGTAACACCAACAGCTCATAAATTCGCAATCTATGGTAGTCATTGCAAGGAGGCTGGTGTGGATTTACCAAGACAACCATTTAGAAAATATTAAATTATTTCAAAATCAACTAAAAAGTTTTCGTTGCGAAGCTAGAACTTGTTGAAGTTTCTCGAACGTTCTTTAATATGGGTGCAAGGAGACGCCCTGGAACAACAATCATACATTGCTCAGTTAGCCTACATTTTAGCAATAGCTGCGGTACTGGAAAATGACCAACATGTTGTTCGTGGATGCTAGTTGTACATGCTGATACAAGGACGCAAGGCGATCGAGGCTTGTTGAAACCTGCGTGACGCACTAAGCATGGATGATCCAAGTTAAGGCATAGTGGCATTTTGGCTCCGTCGATTAAAAGTGGGGAACTACGAACTGTCAAAAATCGGAAAGTAAGAATGTAGACCAACAGATATGGTCAGCGACATCCAGAGCGCTTTGGAAGAGGACAGGAGACAAGGTGTATGTAAAGTTTCGTCACACCTTGATCTGCCAAAAACTACTGTTCCTCGCCATTTGCGCCAAGTCGGAATGGTTTTAAAGCTCGGACAAGTAGTACGACACAAAGACGGATGAGCAGCTTTCCAACTGCTGTGCCATCGCAATTCCACTGCTCACCTAATGACATAAACATCGATGGCTGAACAATGCCGTTACTGGAAACGAGAAGTGGGTTCTCTATATCAACCATAAAAGAAAGCCCAGTGGATTCCAATAGATGAAACTTTAGGAAGATACAGCAAAATAGATGCTTTCAGTCTGGTTGGATCGGCGTATTATCATCTATTGGGAATTGCTATCTGATAATTCCACGGTTATTACCGATGTATACTGCTAAAGATGGTCGACGAACACGGAAAAAGCGTTCAAACGCGGCACGAATCCTTCTCCTGCAAAACTACAAAAGATTCAGCAGCCAGGTATCGGAGATCTGATGCATTTAGCACAGAGTCCTGGACTTTGCCTTTACTGACCACCACATTTTTCCGTTCGCCGCATAATCACATCAAGGACAAGATATTCGACAACCGAGGCCACATCAGAACTTACGCGACACTGGCAGTCAGTGTTCTGTGGGAGAGTCATAGACAACTTGCTCGAAAGTTGGCATTACGTCGTCGATAACAATGGATGTTGCATTGATTAAATAATGTTAGTTGTTTGTAATAAATACTGATTTAAAATGTGCTGAAATTCAAACTGGTTTCGGGGTAACCCAATAATTTCAAACTACCGTAGTAAAGTCAATGTGGATTTCAATGGTAGTTTCAATCCAGCCACCGCGTGCCGGCACAAAAACGAGCAGCACGAATATCAGGCGGTGATGTTGTAGAAAAATGTGTAGTATCCAGATGCGTTAATCGGGTCTCAGTTCATACTGAGTCGTCCAATCACAGTTTGCACCCTGCTTTCAAATGGGAGACAATGATCACGGTGAACTAGAATAAGGTTCCGTATGACTGTGTAGAGGAGTGGAGAAGACAAGTGCACCAAGAACAACGCCCATCAAAACGAAGTTCTGCTATTTAGGTGTCACTCACAAGTCGAGATTAATACAGTGAAACCTGACCTCAAATCATCAATGATAGGACGGGGACCGGTTGGATAAGGCGTTTGTCTGGTGATCCACGATCCGTCATTCTGAATCCTCATAGAGGTAGGGGTGACCTCGCAGTATCGGCAGCCGTGCGCGCGACCGATGGTGATAACGTGGTAGCGAAGCGTCTCTATGACGTACTGTTGATGCTTTTTTATTTTCAATGGCCAGACACACGATAAGTGGATGTGTAGATGAAAAACCGTGTCGCCAGACGATTAACACCGTTCCACATCGTCTGATGTGGGTGTCAGGTGTTCAAAACTGTCGGGTCCAGTGGAAAGGAGTGTGTCGATCGCACTTAAACACGTTTGGCTAGCTGGTTCTTGTCGCTCTGGCTAAGAATACCAAGTGCAAACCATCGTCTGGAAGCGACAAGGAACGATATTTCGATGATTGAGGATCAAACACAATGTCATGGAACGCCCAGATGGTATCTAGATCGACAAAACCATGGAACGCACGCATTAAGTAAATGGGGAGTAGTACGATCTAACGATGAACGGACAAAAAGGTGTGAGGGAGCAAGGACAGTAATACCTGGAATCTGCATTGTTTGCGGGACTCGTTGATGAGGCGTGGTAGGCCACATTGTTGCCAACGTTAGGCGATGTAGTCGGAGGCCGATCACTCATAGTACTATGACGAAGATCGGATATTAGACGCTCCAACTTCGGGTGAACCTGCAAAAAGTTAAGTGGAGGTGAGACCAGGAAGATAAATGGCTGTGTCGAGAGCTACGTTGTCCACACAAAATGGTGAACAATACCATGAACAAAAGGGTAGTCTGTGGTGGTTGTACAATGTTGTAAAAATGTGTACCTTACAACGGTCAGAGGGGGGTTAATGCCACCCAAGTTCTAAACTTCGAGAACAGATTTGTCTGGATGCTGATCGTTGGCCGGTCTGGTGTGTGTTACAACAAGTCAGAAACAAAATCCCCTCCGTGGCGCCTAACGGAGAGAGCCAGGAAGAGAGGTATAGAAGATGCGCTTTAAAATGAGCAGAGTTTTCTTTTAAGCGTGTTCGAGCTTAATGGATACCCCGAAAAATTCATTAAGAGTCACATGGAACCGCGAATGCCAAAGCTAAAACTCGTTCCCGCAGAGAAGGGCAATGCAATAACAGAACGGGCGAAAACATAATTTGCGGTCGATCTGGGCATAGGCTTCACCTCGACACCGATAGTGCACTAGCAACTCAACAAGGGGATATCTCGGTCGCAGATTTCCTTGTGTGTACAATTTCCCTTGCTCATGTCGAGCAAGGTATATTGGAAAAGCGACCATTCGAATGTTCGTGGGAGTTCGAGATCATTGCCCAGCTTGGCTCGACAGTGGTGTGAGAAAGAATGTGAAGAGTGCAGTGTAGTCGCATCAAGTGAACTCCGATCCCAAAATCTGTGCGCCCGGACGCCCCATACGAGCAGTCACATACTGAATGCTGTCGAAAAGCAGAGGCAATCGCAATCCGGCGCCATAACCCGGACCTGTATGCAGAGAAAAACTCCGTCCAAGCCCTCACTTTACTTAGGTCACAGGCCAGCATGGCCAGCAATGGCGATGACATCACTTCTCTCGACGTCACGTTGGCCAAAGCAATCATGCAGTCTTAGTGTTGAGACCGGTTAATTCATTGATCCACTGCGTTTAACCCTCATGTGTCCATTTTAGCCAGTTCAGTTGTGCTTGTAACAGCCTGGTGATGAACCAGTGAAAAGGAGTTTATTCGCTATCGCATGTTTCAAATGTGAAGGCGTACAAAAATAAGGCTTAGTACACTTGAGTGGTGGGAAAAGGCACACAAACCACCGCAACACGATGTGATGGTGGCCGTGGCACAGGTTCAATGGAAGTTGCAACTGACAGAGAAACAAGTGGCGCCCATGTTGAAGCTGAAGTCGGCTGATGCTTCCCGCTTCTAACGTCACGTCCGGCAATCGGTTTTAACATCAATGGAATCTAGCAGCTAGAGATCCTCCAGTTGGAAGGAAACTACTAAACCATGATCATCGGTTGGGTGTCGTATTAACAGTCAGATTAATTTGTCCTAGGCCTCTTTGATATGCGCATACATCCCATTTCTGCATGGGTACATATCCGGTGGGCACTGATCCAGTGCAAACCAAACAACCACACGCTCCCGTGATGATGCAGGTCACACTGCATCTCGGGTCAGTGTCATTAACATGTGGTGCCACTCAGTGAATTCGCCAGATCATGACAGATAGTCGAGTCAAAGAGAAGAAACGGGAGTTCCAAAACGACCATGATTCCCAACTGTGTACAACTCTGCCTCACTCCACAGAGCGTACACTCGGTACGGAGTTCGTCGCTGAAGCAGAGCAAATCACTCAATCTTTCTGTGAGAAGAGGCGGTATGTGGCTGTTCGCATTACATTGACGGACAAAGCCTGGGAAGAGAGTTACTGATTATGCGAGAACGATAATAACATGGGCTCGAATCCCGTTGAGACTGCATACGGCTCCAGATTTTACACGGGGAAAAAGCGAAGTACGATGTTGGGGTCACTTAACACCAGGAACTTCTTTCCAAAAAGTGTACAGGACAGTCAGATTACCACTAGTGAGCTCCAATTCGCGTTGCCGAACCAGTTAGACTAAGCGAAATGAGGTGAAAATAAGTTAAATATTCTCTTCATGTAGCCATGCAGTCTATTCACATGAATTCACTATGCGATATACACTGATCGATAGAACGTCACCATTTGTCAGATAGTCAGAAAGAAGAACAAGGTGCGGTGGTTGGTACGTGAACACTACGACCGGAATGATCGGTAGAACTACAATTAAATGTGCAAACCTTGAAGCTGGGTAAGGCCAACTCGAGTTTCCAGCATGGCATAGCTCACTTGAGCCTTATCGTCATCATCTATAACAGCAGTCATTCAGGAAGTTGCGAGAAGTGATACTACTGATGAAGATTGGGTAGGAGGGGAAGGGGAGATCTGGTATACAACATGGTGCTCCAGCTGCCAAGCGGTTGGCAATTATGTGAACATATGGCGGTAGCGACAAGAGCTTCCTTGCGGTTTACAATGCTCTGCGTCACATTAAATCAGATTGCACAGATTATCGAGTTTCTCGCACGCAGCATAATTGGCGCATCAGTTCGAAATATGCGAGGGAATCAGACGACGCAGCTGGTAAAAGCGGACACCTTACCTCGACCGTGCTGTACCCAAGGCGATCGCAAGCAGAATCTAACCGTCGCTATCTAGCAGGTAGGCAATGTGCAGTAACAGGTACCAGGTTGTACAGATCAGCATGATCTAATCGCAGCCTCAACACAGCGTGACGAGATGAGTTCGTTGTGAAAAGAGTGAATGGGATCGCTCACTAGAAAGTCAGAGTATTCGGCTAACTTGTTGAAATGTGAGCTAAACTATCGAGAAAGGGCGTCGGCTCCCGCTCTGTATAGCCAAAATACATGATACATCAACGCGACCACTAGCTAAGTGATATCCCGTCCACAGCCAAACCATTCGCCGAGCATCAACGTGTTTGAGAACACAAGGACGATGTCGCTATCACCGCAATGCGCTTCATGAAACAGTGACAACGCGGGAGTGTACGGGATACATCTAACAGTAGGAGGAATGATTAACCTAAACAAAACCAGAAACCGTCAGCTCCCTGGAATCAGTGTTGAGATCGGGTCGGCCAGAGTCACAACTCATAGGAAGGCTAGTCCGCAATACCGTCACAGCAGAGATGTATACTGAGCCACCAAGGTGATTAATATCGCTTCATGTTCGTGCAAGTGGCAATCAAAACACAACAGAATGACGTTGCTTTGTGCCGTTGAGGGTTTGCAGTGGTCAGCACTACGCCGGAATGTCGTACGGACGCCTCGATGCCACGTGATTATCATCAGTTGCGAGCAGGCTGGGTATAGTGGAAGGTGGCTCGAGTATACATAGATTCGAACAAATGACAATTGGAGTAAAAAACAGGTGGTTTTCCTTTCGGCCACTGGTTGACGGTGAGCATTCTGACCTCACTTGGCTGAGAGGTGATGAAACGAAACACAAACTTGCTAAGTGAGATGAAAAGCATCGGATTTTAGGTCGCAAACACCGCTCCGAGTGCGAACGTAACCAAATGCGCGATCAGAAACGATAATAACGCAAAGGTCTTGAATGGAAGCAATAAGTCTGAAACGGCATAACTAGTTTCCTTAAGGCGCAGTGATCCTTGAGTACGGTTCAACACAGTGCTTCACAATGAAAAGACGATGAGCAATCGGAAGAAAAACCAGTTCAGAATGGGTTGGTGGAAAAAAACCTTAATATGTAAATAAAGTAGTCCCGTTGGGTTTAAGGAGGTTATGTTATGTCGGGAATGCAACGAATGATCACGTCAGTACTGGCCACATCAGTTGCTGGACATAGTACCGGACGTGGCGAGAACAAGGGTCAGCGAAGCTTCTATATCCGTCTCCTGCTTTCGGACCCTTGATTACTCAGCTTGATAATTTATATCTTTGTTCTGTCCCTTTGGATCATTATTATTATCACCATAATTTTGATAAATTAAACCGAACCGAACCGCATTGCAAGGTGTATGATCAAAATGAAGAAAAGAAGTAGCGCGAGTTGAACCATTAAAAAAACCCGCACGTTAGTATGTAGCCATCGAATATTCCACAGTTGCAGAAACCTACAGGACCAATAAACCAGGGGAAATGCATCGAGGATCTGGTTGGAGGAAGCCAAGTCAGACATTACTTGCATTTTTGTCGAAGAAGCAACAACTGTGTGAAGCGAAAAGAGAGCAATGGACGGAGCAGCTGATAAAATAGGGTTAGCCAGAAAATACGCACCTCAGCGTTTTCAGCTTCGCTCTTGTTCCCAAGATGAACCATTAGTTCGCGCAATGTCAGTAAATTCGAACGTTTCGAAGGCGAATGTCGAGTGGACACGCCGAACTATAAAAATACGAAATGTTGCAGGGATGATGCCACTGGATAGAAGTGAAACACAGAGTCCAACTGCAAGTGGGGCCATCATGATAGGAAACTAAATTAGTTAAAACCGTTAACAACCATACCTTCAGAACCCGGCACATGCTTATGTAGTGATAAACAGTTAAAATGAAAAGAAATAGAAAATGGTATGGACAAGCTATGGGAACATGCTGGTGCTTTGTTGAGAGCGATATGAAAATGATCACTATGACTCTAACAAACAGGGCGTCATCCGATTCAATCAGTGACAATTCGTAAGCAGTCATCAACGCAAGCTACCGTTCGAGAAGTCAGTTACATTATATTCGGTTTTTATCAAGTGAACAACATTCTTGCCTCGGAAAATAGAGACTTAATGAAATGCTTGATGGAGCAACGACATTATGTAGGATGGTAAAAATAACTGCATTGCAAACTCTGGCAAATAAGTGAGAGGATAAGTAACTAACTCGCCTTGTCAGCAGGATTGGGCGACCAGCCGACTCATTTGGACGCGTTATTGTACAAATACAAACAAAACAAGGAAATAAATAGCGAAAATTTCAGGTATGTCATTGATATTATGACGAACCGTTAACATCACCTGCATTTACTCATTATACGTTTCTTTCTAATGAAATTGTACATTGTCAGCGTGATGAGCCGTCGTTAAATGATCGATTTCCGCTGAGCATAGATGGTATGTGCTACTAGGAAACATAAACTCAAAGCATGTGGGGCCACGAGGAAAATATTTCAGTGACCGAAATTCATCTGGAATTTGTCCCAGTGAGATGCCCAATGATACAAAATACGCACTCAGAACGCTAACAGCCACTTTTAAAAATTAATAATGTGTCAGCTGTACACCGTAACGGCGCTTCGCTGCCGCGCGACCACCACCAGTCGCGCGCGGGCTGAGTATACTGCAAGGACGCCCACCCCTACGCGGATTCGAACCGGTGACCTTATGGTTGCAAACCAAAAGTGCAGACCACTCGGCCACCGGCCGACTAACCGGTGTTTCGTGCCATGTGGGTGGTAGTCAGATCAGAAATGAAAACCGAAAGATGAGCAGTTCGTGGAAAATAAGTGGAACGAAAAACAAAGACAATTACGTGAGATCAAGCGCACTTACGCAGCATAAAAATTTCATCAATGCGAACATTTAGATCCACCAGAGAGGGAACCACAAGTCATAATGCCAATTTGCTGCTCACAGAATGTGGTGCAACCTAGGGAGAATCGGAACAAACAACGCTTTAGTTCAAAGATGTAAAATGGTTATCAAAGCATAACAGGATGGCAGGTTCGGTAAACAGCTTGTATACTAGGCAGATAAAATGCAATGCAGACATGGGGATTGGTGCAAAACTAACCCCTCCGCTGCGCCAGTAAGTTGCAGTCTATGTACAAGTGACCTATACACGAGCAACCGGCAGCGTCGAATTGCTGCTATACACGAATGAATAGCCGGAGCCAATGCGGTTTTAAAACAAAGCTCAAAAGAACATCCAGATTCAGCTCTCTTCATTTAACGAGCAATGCGTTATTCGTCAACAGTAAATTTGATCGGGTGTAAACCAGTGGTGGCCAGTGGATGGAATGACAAAAGAGTAAGAAGAAAGTCATCAAAATGTAGAGTCCAGTTTCGCTGGCTGTAATCCTAAATGGAGGTCCTTGAGATTAGCCACAAGAGTGGCCGGATTCAGGTTCAAGTTCAGGTGGGACTGGAACGATAGGATGATTTATGCAAATGTTCCTTCTTTAGCGGGTCTTTGATCCGGGAGTTGATAAGGGTACTCTGACTTCTTGATGGATCTAAAACAAAAACACTCGAAACACCCTGGCTCACCAATTTAATGCTCACGTTTCTTGCATTAGCAGTCCCTGAAGTAAATAAGGGAGAAAAGGAAGGTAACGAGTAAAGGAAATCAGTTGAATGAAAAGGATAATACCAATGATGAGGGAAAGTACGGAGAATGTAATCGAAGTATGAAGATGGGTTTGTGAGGAAAAAGGAAAGGTTTCGTGTTGCCACCCAAGAGCATCTAGTTGACGCTCTGACCCCTTAACCGTAGCTTCCTTGACAACATTTTCTGGAAGCGAGTTCCAGCGCTCGATGACTCGACGCGATAACCGTGTCTCCGCTCTAATTAGATTGGATCGCGATTTATCCAGCTTAATACAATGCCCGCAGAGACCAAATAATCTAGCAGGACTAAATATCCAGGACAGATCAGGGCAAACCCTCCCAGTCAAAACACCGAAGGTTAGGATTTGGTCCACTATCATACTTCAGTAGTACATTGAATGCATCCCCAAACTAAGTAGACGTTCGGGGTACGTTTGTCCTCGTAACTCCTCGACCAACCTAGTACCGACACGCAACACCCTAAAGCCATTTTGTCCTGGACAAGGCATGGTGGACAGGCCTGGACGAAATATTCTAAGCGGGGTCACCCGAACGCTGAGAAGAGCTTCACAAACATATCAGATGTTAAAGTCCCGAAAGAAGGACGGATAAACCAAAACATCCGGGACCCTTTACTAGCCGCCTTCTTCCAGTTGTCTCTAGAGAGTAGAATGGAACAGTGGACGACACCTAGATCAACCTGATGAGTTACGTGAGGAAGTTCACTCCCATCGATCACATAATTTGTGAATGAATCAAGCGCTCCGATAGGCAGCACTGAACACTTTGCCTGGTTTATAGGCAGCAACTACACCATTCCCAAAGTCTATCCAGAGCTCGTTAAAGAGCCGCAAAACCTGCAAGGACATCCAGAGCTTTAGATCATCAGCAAATAAGAACTCCCCCGGGCAAGACATTAGGTGGACTGTGAACAACAGCGGATCTAGGACAGAGCCTTGCGGAACGCCGCTAAGGACAGCTTGTCGTAACGAAAGACTGCTTCCCACGCGTATGCACTGTTCCCGTCTATCCAGAAAATCTGATACCCACTAGAGAGCGCGATCAAACATTCCATAAGACCTCAAATTCAGTGATAGCCGCGAATGGAGGACAGTGTTGAAGACCTTGGCGAAGTTAATGAACACTACGTCCACTGCATATCCATTGTCTACGGCTCCAGTCAAGCTCCCACGAGCTACCAGCAAGTTCGTTTGACACGGAAATTCTTTGCGAAAACCATGTTGCGCGACGCTAAGCAAGTTAAATTTATTCAAATGGCTACCCACTGTATTTCTTACTTATTTTTCAAGGAATTTAATCACCACGCTAGTCAAGCTGACGGGTCTGTAATGAACCAGTAGATCTTCGTCAGCGTACATGAAAATCGGGCAGATAACAGCTTCCTTCCATTCGGTAGATAAGACACAGCTGTTGAGTGACTTCTGAAACACACAAGTCAGAGGTCAACTGAGTTCCGCTGCCAATTCGTGCAGTAATTTTGGATGAACAGAATCTGGCCAGGAAGCATTAGTTGGATTCATCTCTCTCAGCAACCGGAGAACTTGAGACTCAGTTACAGGGATTTCATTCAGACAAGAGTCCACAGTGACTCTTGAAGCTAGTCCGCTGTATGACGTATTTGTTTCGCGGACAAAGACGTTTGTGTACTGCACACTAAGCACGCATGCCTTGTCATAGTCGCTATAGGCAGAACCCCATCCCCTCGAAGCAATGTTGGAATGAACGAATTTGCACCATAGCCTCGTTCAACGCAAGCGAAGAACTTCTTGTGATTAGTCGAGGCAGTATCAGCTAATGCTTTTTCATACTAGAGCCGGGCCAATCTAATATACAGCTTGCTTTCGTTTCGAACCAACCGATATGTGTCAGACGTGCTGGTAGACGGAGTAGTTCGATACGGTTGACAGCATCTATAGCATTTCTCGCCAAGTTGCATGAAGGTTCAGAATCTTGCAGAAAAAATACAAAGTTTTGCATAAAACGTCCAAAATTTTGCAAAAATAGTCCGAAATGTTGCAAAACCCTAAGCGTTTTGCCAGCAGCTCTGAGTCACTCCTCCGACCTCAAGTGTGTTCTCATTGGCCGGGTGCTAGGGTTTGGTGGGTAAGTCGTTAAGTGAGCGCGCAGACCGTTGTATGGGTGACTTGTGAATGAACCTTGATTCCATGGACATGGGCGGTGCCAAGAGCTACTATGCGCCCCTCCTCACGTCCGAAACGTTGGATCATAACTGGTCTGAGAGCAATGAACGGCCGGAACATAAGCGCACGACTGAATGGATGTCTTTCAATCCAGCGTGGTCGACATGCCTTCTCGTGTTCGACAGAGTATCTCGTCAGACATTCGTGACCGAGGTATGGATGCCCTCGTCAACGGTGACGACAGAGCTCGTGGCAATCGTGAACAATGTGAAATATCAAACTGCCTACTCTCGGATTCGTCGATTTCTTGATCAAAAGCCGAACAATACGCAGGCGCGCGGTCGTAAGCGCATTCTGTCGGAGGAATAAATTAATGACATGCTGGAGTGGATCACGAAGGACGCAACTCTAACACTACATGAAATACGAGTCCGAGTATGTGCCGTTATGGACAAGAACATTTCAAAGTCTACAATCGCACGATACCTGGATGGCCGTTTGATAACAATGAAGAACACCTATTAGACTCCAGAAGGAATGAACAATGATCAAACCAAAGCGACACGAAAAAAGTTTGTTCAACAGTTGCTCGTATATGGATTGACGAAACAAACTTCAACATTTACTGCAAAGGTACTCGTGGTCGGGCGACAGGAAGAGTGAGAGCCTGCGTCAAAGTAGCCAACAGTAGAGGCCTGAATTTGCATCTCATCGGTGCATCACAATGATTGGAAACATTCACTGGCCCCCTATCTCTAGAATGGATGCGAGGCCTTTTAGACAAGTTGAAGTGGGAAATAGGGCTCCGGCATGTGGTCGTAGTGTGTGACAATGCACTATGTCACACACGTTTGGAAGCATTTGCGTCAGTCGGAGGATACGAAGGGGTAACCATTCTGAGACTGAGCTCATTCTCACCGTTCCTCAATCCCATCGAAAATGTTTGGCAAGTAAAGAAGGCCCGAGTGAAGAATGAAATGCGAATGCAGTACGACGAACTTCTGGCCAAGGATCTCCAGAACCTCATAACGCAAATGGAATGGAGGTTGCAGTTTCTGGAACGCATTGCCAGAACAGCAACCAGTGAAATCAGTGTTGTGGGATGTGCTAATGCGATTCGACACATCCGGGTACATTTTCCTGATTGTTTGCAAAAATATGACGTGCTTTGATAACATTTCCGGCTCGTCACTTTAGACATATGGTTGCATAGCATATATCACTAGGAGCGAGTAGGGACACGAGGAAATTCAAAGTCTAGGCGAAATATGTATGCACGTACGTACGTAAATACGTTCGTACGGGGGGTGCAGTGATATCTGATGTCCAGCGTTAGGCAATGGCATGGAACTGGCTTCCAATGAGACATGTGCGAGTGATATTTGCAGAGTACCGTCTACTTCATTCATGAATAATCTTAGACGATGCAGATAGGGTTCCAGAATTCCGAAAACTATGACGTCTGGAAAGTGAATTGCTGAAAGGCATCAACAAATCCACAAGGGGTTGATGCACCAAAAATAATTGATATGCAACTCATTGCGTGGGCAGTAAGCCACCGGTAAGTGCACGAGTTTTATGCTTACGTTATTGAGATATCGGGTCAGAGTGTACTTTATACGCTACTAGAAGGAGCCAGTTCTGCATTCGGGGGAACACTGTGGCGCCCAGGGCAAATAGTGCATGTGGTCGCGTCGCATAACCGATTTCGTGGCTGTGGTGTAGTACAACCGCGTGACAGCTTGAGAAATGGATTCACGCCTAAATAGGGATGCAAGGCGTGCAATTATGATTTCTCGCCTATCTCTGTTGGCGTTTGGAGAGCCAGTGGTTAACGATTTTGCTAAGGACACAGCAGGCTTGACCGCTATGGATCGAGGTTGTGGTCGTTGATCGAGTATCTAGCACATAAAACCAGCGCGGGCGAATGGACGCCGATTTACCGTGCCATGATGATCAATGCGAACTGTCAAAGTACGTAGGGAATGCACAACTTTTGTTTACCACGATTTCAAGGGAAATATTTTAGGCAAAATCACCAATAGGTTAACAGCAGTTGTGTAGCCACTGCTGATGCTGCCCAGGGCAGTCGTTCGTTTTTCGCCCCCCTGCGTAAACCACTACATCTGCGAATAGCAGTTCAATAGGGCGTTTCATAG